GCCGAGACCCCCGGCCCTGCCTCGGCCGCCCCGGCCCTGCCGCCCACGGGAAGGAAGTTTACTGGCGCTCGAGGATGAACTCCGCGTCTCGGGGGGATCCCTGCGCCGCCCCCCCCACCTCGTTCACACTCCACCTGGGCCCGCGGTGCAGTGGGGTGCCTTTGGGGACTCGGAGCAGCGGAAGGATGACGACTGGTGTCGGGGCGCCCGCTCGGCACGCTGGGGTCGCGGTCCGAGCGGAGAGAGCTCTGTACTGCTCGGCGCCCCGGGAGCGGGCGGGCGGGGAGCGTCCGGGACCCGCTACCCACGGCTCTCCCCGCATCTTTTCTCCTAACGCAGGCTCAGCACCCCCTCCTCCCCAAGAAATATTTAGAGGCGGTGTGCGCCGGCGAGGATGTGGGAGCCGGTACCTCCAGGAGTCCCGGGATCGTGCTCCTGGGCTGGGGGTGGGGGGCGATCTAGCCAGAGGAGAATCCCCTGAAACGGGCAGTTCGCTTTTTTCGATGAAGACGACGATCGCGGGTCCCTGGGGGAACGAACAAGTCCAGAACAAAGTTTCCTTGAGGGAACTAAGCCCGAGAGTGGCAGGGGTCCGGGCAGGCACCGGGGGGACCGAGGGGGGACACCTCGGTCCCTCCTTGACCCTAACTGTGCTTCGCATTAGGGGCCTGGCTGCTCCCAGGCCCAGCGCCCGAGGCGAGGGAGCGGCGCCCGGCTCGGTTCCCGCGACACTGCCTCTCGGCTGCGGGAGGACCAGCGGCCCCTCTAGCCGGGGCTCGGGGCTCCGGGCGCCCCGCGAGATGCTCAAGTCCCGGGAGACATTTTGGGATACGGAGAAGGGGGCTGGAGCCGACAAGGCTCACAAGCGGGCCCGGAGATCCGCACCTCTGTCCACTAAACCCTGCCTCCGCCTGGGCCCCAGACACCAGGGCTCCTTCCCTAGAGGCCTGCTTCTCGGTAGGGCTGGGAGCGGGCACCCCCAAAGCCCAGGCAGAGAAGCTCAGGGACTTTCACTTCCTTCACCCCGACTGTCAGGAAGTGAAAGGGGACTTCAGGCGTGAGGGGTCCCTGGCAGAAATTGGGGAGACCTGAGATCCAGTTTAAAAGTGTTTACAATATTGCTCCCCACCCCCACCCCAGTACTTTGTAAAGCCCCCAGCCTTACCGAGTCTCTGCTGTTTCTCAGTGTGCAGAGAGGAGCCCCTGAAACCCTCTTTCAGCCCCCTGCGAACCGGGCAGGCGAGGTAAAGGAGACAAAATTACCGAGGCCGCTGCAGCCACTCCGAGCATTTTTCTGGGTTCTCTCAGCTGATCCCTCTGTCTCTTGCCCCCACTCCCATCTTTCCTAAAGTTTCTGGTGAGACTTTCCCCTCCGAAGTACTAGTAGAAGTTAACAATTTGTGTAGGATAAACCGAAAGGGAGGAGAAGAAAATGCCTTTTTTTTCCCTTGGGTAAATTTGTACTGGTTTTTGACATTTTCCAAAAAAAAAAAAAAAAAAAAACCACACACCAGGCGGGCTTCACGGAGAAATGATGCGGCCAGCTCTTTGCCTTTCTCCTGTGTGCAGCATGTTTAATAGTTAAGGCTCCCCATAAAGCCACGATATAAAAGGGCTCCACTGCCTCTCACCATTGCTGCTTATTAGGAGGTTTTGTTTGGGGGTTGCTTTTCTGTTTGTTTGTTTTTCTAGTTTATCTGAGCTGTGAGATAAATGAAGCAAGTTTCTTTTTCCCTCTGCTTTTCTTCCTTCCTTCCTTCTTTCTTTTCTTTTTATCCTCCAGAGCTGGTTCATTGTCCCAAGGAGCAGTGAAGTGATTGTGGCTCCCTAGGAAAGTTTCCCTGCAGCAGCCTGTCTCCTGCCTCTCCCCTCCCCTACTTTTCCTCTTCTGGAGTAATGGTTTTAGGTTATGACTGTTTTTACATGGCCGAACAATAAGTTGGGAAGAGGCTGCCTGGAGGGTAGGTTTGGTAACAGGTTTACAGGATTTAGTGTGTTGTAATAATATTAGTACACAGCTGAGTCTCCGCTCGGCCTCTCCACTCCAGCCCATGCTCACTTCGGAGTAGCTGTGAGGTGGATGCAACTGAGTCACCACTTAGCTCCAAGTTACCTTTAAAATCTCACTACCCTGTCCACAGCAGGGAACTGGGCGCGGGTCCCCACACCACACACTTGCAGGAGCGGTTGGGGTTTTCTTCTTTGTTTGGGCTTGGTATTTTTCTTATAGTTTTTCATCTGGAAAGGTGGTGAAGTTTTGAGAAGTCGATCCCTCAGTCAAACAAGGTGCTTACTTTTTCTTCTGTGTTGAAATGATCTGACAATATGGCCAGAGAAGTAGAAAGCATAGGAGCACCTTCTGGGCGGTGCTCACATTAGCAGCTAGCCCTTATTTTAAGACTGCAGCCCAGAATGGAACCTAGAAAAGTTTGTGGGCCTTGGGGGGGGCCAGAGTGGCGCTGCGTGGCATGCCTGTGTGTGTTCGTGTGTGTTGAAAGAAACCCCGGGGCCTGCTTCACCAGCACTGCTAACTTCATCGGAAGAAGCTCAAGAAAACAAAATTATTTGGTTAGTCTTCCAGTATTCCTGTTTTAATTCTATTTTGGTGCAGCTGTAATACCAGAAACACCCTAAAATAAACTTGGGCATTTTTCTGTTTCTTGTAAAACTGAGATTATGGCAGCTATGACTTGTCTCTTAGATGATATTCAACAAGTCTCACAGTACTTGTAGAAAGATGCCGACTGACGGGCAGACCCTTACTGAGAGAAAAAATTCTGAGCAAAGGGAATATTGAAACCTAATGTATGCGGGTTCTTAGAGAGATCTGGGTTTCAGAGCTGTGTGTGTGTGTGTGTGTGTGTGTGTGTGTGTGAGAGAGAGAGAGAGAGAGAGAGAAGGAAAGAAGCTTTTCTTCATAGGGTGGTGTTTTCAGCTTTCTGTAATCTCCATGAAGGTTGTATGTATTTATAAAGAAAGTATTTTTGGTGCTCAGCTTTTTTAATGAAAAGATAATATTGGAAGAAAGATAAAAGCATCATGAACTCCATATAAAACACTGACTCATATAAAGTATCATAAAAATTTCCCTTCTTTATATTAATAATGAAATTCTATTATTTACCAAAGTAATTTACTCATTGTGGGCAGCTTAATGGCAACACATTGATTTCTGGGCCCGAAAGGTTAGAGAGAACTATAATTAATTGCTTTTTTTGAAAAACTGACACCTGCAAGATAAGGCCGTTGGGAAGAATTCATGTTTCATCAGGCCTATTTTAAGTTTGTGGCATAATGGAAGATTCTGGATGAGAAAATGCTAACTGGGGGGGATTACTTTAGACTGCACATACTTTTTAAAAGACAAACACACACACACAAGTATATAGCTGGACGTGACACAGTATGTGGAAAGTGATTTTGTAATACTGAAAATTGCTGCAGTTTATTTTACATCAAGTTTGGCCTCTGGCTTATAGGAATGAGTGCCAATTTATGGGTTATTCTTTGGGGACTTTCATTTTTTTATCCTTTGCAGGTAGCAAATGGTCATTACCAATGGTCCTTCAGAAGGCAGAACCCTGCATTTTTAACTGAAGACCTTCTGGGGAAGGCTAGTAGTTCTGTAAGATTTCTGAGATTGTTCAAAGCTCTGGGCAGTCTTAACTCGGTTTTTCTAAGAGACATCCTGGTACAGTTAGTCATATCTTCCAAAATTATTCTGAGGCTATCAAAACTGAAGCAACTTAGCAGGAAAGCAAAGGAGATAGTAAATTATCCTGAGAACCAGCACCCTCCTCCCCCCCCCCCCAAAAGAAAAAGTTTGTGTGCCGGGCATTTGAAACCTGTGTGTGAGAAGCTGTTTTAACCTTTGCTAGCCTCCCCCATGCAAAGGTGACAAGGTCCAGATCATAATATTGTCCTTCAGTATCTTCCCAGTGACCCCCAAATTGAGTCTTGCTAGTCACTTAGCAGGAAGTTGGTAGTTTATTTTAGTTTCACCTTATCAGCTTGGCTTCTTTTCCTAACCTTATTCCCCTGTCACCCTCAGATGCCAGACCCCCAAAGGGGAAGATTGACAGGTAGTTCCCATCGCTCCGTTTTACCCTCAAACAACTGGGATTTAGTTTCTTGTGCCTTTGCCAATGTTTATGTAGTCAAAGTTTAGATCTCGCCTTAAGGAGCCTCTCTTTTACGCGTCACTGGAGTAGGAAAGCCACAAAGAAGTTTTTGAACAAACCCTTGCAACTGGAACCCCATCTAGTGTTCAGGTCGATTCATCCAAGGGGAAGACATTTTCCCCTTTCATTTACTGTGGCCATGAGGTGGGTTTGTCTCAGGGGTTTAAAAGGAGTGTCTTGTCCGGGGCGTTATTTTTTCAAAGGTTTCACTTGTCCTCACCCCAGAGTATACACTTATCCTAGTCAGGAACGCTGAGCAGCCTTGCAGGGTGCCAGTAAATTTGTCATTTGGCTGCATATGACAGAAAGGAAACTTCAGTCATTACAGAAAATATGTGCAGCATATGTGATGTTGGAAATTTTTCTGGAATCTTAAAGCTGGACATTCAGATTCAGGTTTTTCCCAAGTCTGTGCAAAAAAAAAAGAAAGAAAGAAAAAGAAGAGAAAAGACCAATCAATCAAAAATGTTGGTGATAGCCTTTCTAAATTAAATTAGTCTACGAAAAGGAGTAGCCTGCTTTAAAAAAAAAAAAAAAAAAAAATCAAAAATGTTGGTGATAGCCTTTCTAAATTAAATTAGTCTACGAAAAGGAGTAGCCTGCTTTAAAAAAAAAAAAAAAAAAAGGCACCCAAACCACTCTGGGAGAGGTTCTGTTAAAAATGCTAATGTGATTTTAAGGCAATGGGAAGGAAAGTGAAGGATGTTTCTGAGGAGCTCCAAAAGAGAAAAGTAAATGTGGTTAAGTTGGGTTGTTGGTATTTGGTTTGGTTTTGTTTTTTCCCCCGACTGGCTTAAGTCTTTCTGTTGGGGCATAGTTTTATTTTTATTTTCTTACTAAGTATCCGGGCACACTTGAATGTGCTGATGCCTATTCTGCTGTGTTTGCTTCAGAGGATGAAAAACTGACCAATTTGAATAGGACATCAAACTCCAACATCTGAGATTTCAGTGTAAACTGGATGGAGTTATAAATTCGCCCCCTCCCCCTCCAAAAAATAAAAAAACAACCCAGAAAATCCCAACTATCTTTTTGTGTGCACATACATACTTAGAAAACCACTACTTCTTAAAATTGAACAGGATTACAAAATTACTTTAATTTGTATGCAGAATGCATAGAAAAGGAATTGGAATGTTATTTTCACCAACGGCAGGAACAAGGCAACTGTATTTACTATAATGGGGTCACCAGTTGCAATCCTGTGTAACAGTACTGAGAAAGAGATACAAGATAGCAGACAGAAAAATGAATTAGAACGGGTGTGTGTGTCTTACTGCAAGTTAACACATTCCTCTTGGTAGTTAAAGATTCAAACTAGTCCTTGTGCTTTATAGAGTTGTTTTTTTTTTTTTTAAGACTGTTTCATTGGAATTCTGTTCAGATGCATATAGATTTAAAGTTAAGAACTATTACAGTGTAGCGACACCTGCTTTTGAAATAAATCAAAATAGATACCAGGATTTTTTTTTTCGGTGTTCATAAACATCAGGAAATTAAATTAGTTGACTCTACAGTGAGATCAAATGTCAGCTTATTAAAATGTTGTGAAAATCTGAGCTAAAATACAGGCAGCTTTTAACACAGTCTCTTTCTTAGAAGCAAGCAGGCATTTATTTTTAAGCGTCTACATTTCCCGTCCAGTTAGCACAATCCTAAATATAAAAATGTTCAGGTTGAACAACTTGAAAATTCTCAAGTGAGTCTTGAAGTAGCACAAATACAGAATTCGAGCCCAGGAAAGTAAAAATCAGCTAAATCCTGTAAAGTAACCTTCTTTTTATTTTCTCTATATATTATTATGAGAATATCAGATGTTTGCAAGTTATAAAGAATTAAAATGCCCTTTAATCGTGAACACAGATGTGCTAAATATTTGAAGCAACTACATTGTAATGTGTACAATTGATGAAGTCAGTTTTCTGATTTCCCTTGCTAGTTATTTAGTTCTGAATCTGTCATTATTTGTCTAAGCCCAGCTGACCAAGCAAAACTGTGTTTTAAAGTGGCTTTATGTTTTGATAAATGTGAGCTGGTTGAAAAGTATTTTCCACTGAATGCAGAGCTTAATAGAACATGCTGACATAATAGTTTTAATGCATTTTGTTGAAAATGTGTGAACAAACAGAATAGCTTTTGTTCCTTCATAATTGGCTGTAAAAGTAGATGGAAACATAACCATTACATATGGAAATGTGCAAAGAGAAAGAAATAACATTTCTGTTGAATATATTAGGAATTGCATTTCCTAGTTTAAAATAAGCATCTGAAATGGATGCATCATTTAAAATTGGTTGTCAAAATAAGAAGCTTTAAACAGAATTTTTGTCACATTATTTTTGTCCCAAGTTCAGCAACATAACTTTAGTGAATTTCGATTAATATTTTGTTTATATTATTTTAAGGCAGGGAGAGAGACAGAAAGGGCTTAAAACAGCACCTTGAATGTGTACAGAAATCTGGTGCCAATTAGGATGATTAAACATTAAATTAAAACTGAATCATTATTGGTATTTTTCTACTACAGTGAAGATTTGTTTGGTATTGTCAATGCATTTTGTGCAATAGCTTTGTGGAGATTAAAGATGGGTATTAGGAAAGCTAGCTTGTTAAGTATAACTTAGCTGCTCAAACACCCTTCCCAGTGAGTAAAATGCATACATGAGGCTTCCTCGCCAGGGCTTCTGATCAACTTCGGCATCTCTCAAGGCAAATAGAGTTAAGGAATTTCCAGAAGTTAGCATGTAGGTATTAATTATATTTTCTGACATGGAAAGCTACTCCAGCTTTTTGTGATGTTTACTACAGAAGGGCAAATGCTTGACTCTTTTGAGTTGACTCTGAAATTTCCCCGAAAGCTGCATTTTGATTTTGCATTTATTCATATTTGCAATTAGGGTCTTTTTTTTTTTTTTTTCCCCTGCAAGTTTTCTGGGAGATTCAATTTGGAAGTCATGGAAACTAACTATTATCTGATTCAGTTCTGCAGAAAAGCATGCAGGGAGGTAATCCTTGAATTAAACAGTTTTTTTTTTCCACAGCCTTCGGAGATGACCACACACCATTTGTACAACAGAAGTTGGTGTTCCCCATGCTGGGCAAACAATGGGACCCCATTCTGTCTTTGAATAGGGTGTTAGCTTGGAGTTGGAGATTTTTATGTTTAATTTACAAATGGATCTTAGCGAGAAGAAATCTGAGCAACCAGTGGAAACAAACATGAAATAAAGGGATTTTTATAATGAAAGGTTCGGGACAATCTGTTAAACAATTGATAACAGTTAAGAGCAAACTGATTTTAAAGGCATTCAGACAGGAGAATAACAAAGCATTTCCAAACTCTAAACCAAGAATTATTTCTTCTCTTCCCCGTAACTGCACATCCTTCTTTAAGTTGATGTTAAATCAGAAATGTAAATCTTGTGCCAGTTTTTATATATATCTATATAAGAGCACTTTTGATGAAATATTTAGAGGCGTAATGTTGCCATTTGGAGCATCATGGCATATATTCTTTTATTAGTGGGATGGTGGCCAGGGTTTCATTCTTTAATTTTAAAAATAAACATGCCAGAGGAAGATCTATAGATGTGAGGGCAGGCTTGTACTGGATTATGATCATTGTGTTTCTCTTCATGTGGGGTGTGTGTGTGTGTGTGTGTGCGCGTGCGTGTGTGTGTGCGTGTCCCTGTCTTTTGTATTCAGCAGAGTCTGGAAGCTTTCTTACTGATGCAACTATAGAGTTTGCTCATTAAGGATCAGACAGAGCTCAGGTTCTAGGTAGGGGCTGGAGGTGATTTTCAAGTTGTCAGTCTCCAAGTCGGTGCTGATATGCATTTTTTTCTCCTCTTGTCAACAACTGATTGGAACCTGAATGACTACAAATTAGTTTAGTGACAGGACAAACTGTCACAGATATCTTTGAATCGGTTGAAAATGAATAAGGTTGACAGAAACTCAAGAGCCTAATAAGTCCTCAGAATGGTCGCTGGATGGGTAACACAATAAGGTGTATAAAATATTGGAAATCAATACTTTGCTATGGAATTTCATTATGCACCGATGTCTTCAGTTCATCCCATGTTATATTTTGATGGATTATCCGAAGACCGTGGCTACCTAAGGTGGGAGTTCCTCCAACACCCTCACCATTTCATTAGGCGTGTTCTAGGCGATATTGATCTGGTGGCAGGGGCGAGGGTTGTGAGTTGTGCAGGTAGAAGACACCTGATCAATCCCCTTCCTGGTTTGGAAGTCAGAGGTGACTCTGCGCGGCCTGGCGCCCTTTCTAACGCTGAACCTCTTGATGTTCGCAGGAGACACAGACAAGGGTCACCCGAACCGCATCGCTAAGAGCAAGGACGCTCACGTGTGTGGTCGATGCTGTGCCGAGTTCTTTGAGTTATCAGACCTTCTGCTCCACAAGAAGAACTGTACTAAAAATCAATTAGTTTTAATCGTCAATGAAAGTCCGGCCTCCCCACCTGACACCTTCTCCCCCAGCCCCCCTCCCGATAACCCGGGGGAACAAGTGAATGCCCCAGCGAACAAAGCAGAGCAAGAGGACAGCGGCGACCTTTCAGAACACAACGGACTTGACGCGGAAGAGCCCATGGACGCGGAGGCCCCTGCGGCCCCCAAAGGCGGCGGCGGCGGCGGCGGCGGCGGCAGCATCCTGGGCAGGAGCCACGGTGGGGCCGCCCCCGGCTGCGGCGGCAGCGCCTCCGCAGGTACCTCAGCGATCACAACCTCTCTACCTCAACTCGGGGACCTGACGACACTGGGCAGCTTCTCCGTGATCAACAGTAACGTCATCATCGAGAACCTCCAGAGCACCAAGGTGGCGGTGGCCCAGTTCTCCCAGGAAGCGAGGTGCGGCGGGGCTTCGGGGGGCAAGCTGGCGGTCCCCGCTCTCATGGAGCAGCTCTTAGCTCTGCAGCAACAGCAGATCCACCAGCTGCAACTGATCGAACAGATTCGTCACCAAATATTGCTGTTGGCTTCTCAGAACGCAGACTTGCCAACCTCTTCTAGTCCTTCTCAAGGTACTTTACGAACATCTGCCAACCCCTTGTCTACACTAAGTTCCCATTTATCTCAGCAGCTGGCAGCAGCAGCTGGATTAGCACAGAGCCTCGCTAGCCAATCTGCCAGCATCAGCGGTGTGAAACAGCTCCCCCCCGTCCAGCTACCTCAGAGCAGTTCTGGCAATACCATCCTTCCACCCAGCAGCGGCTCTTCCCCCACTGTTAACATCCTGGCAGCAGCGGTTACCACACCCCCCTCAGAAAAAGTGGCTTCGAGCGCTGGTGCCCCCCAAGCCAGCAACCCAGCAGTCTCGGCATCACCCTCACCAGCTTTTGCAATAAGCAGTTTGTTAAGTCCTGCGTCTAATCCACTTCTACCTCAGCCGGCCCCTGCTAACTCGGTGTTCCCCAGCCCTTTGCCCAACCTTGGAACAACTGCAGAGGATTTAAACTCCTTGTCTGCCTTGGCCCAGCAAAGAAAAAGCAAGCCACCAAATGTCACGGCCTTCGAAGCGAAAAGCGCGTCCGACGAGGCGTTCTTCAAACACAAGTGCAGGTTCTGCGCGAAGGTCTTCGGGAGCGACAGTGCCTTGCAGATCCACCTGCGCTCCCACACGGGAGAGAGGCCGTTCAAGTGCAACATCTGCGGGAACCGGTTCTCCACCAAGGGGAACCTCAAAGTCCACTTTCAGCGCCACAAAGAGAAGTACCCACATATCCAGATGAACCCCTACCCCGTGCCTGAGCACCTGGACAATATCCCCACCAGCACCGGCATCCCCTACGGCATGTCAATCCCTCCGGAAAAGCCTGTCACCAGCTGGCTTGACACCAAACCGGTCCTGCCCACCCTCACCACCTCAGTCGGCCTGCCGCTGCCCCCCACCCTGCCGGGCCTCGCGCCCTTCATCAAGACGGAAGAGCCAGCCCCCATCCCCATCAGCCATTCTGCCGCCAGCCCCCCGGGCTCCGTCAAAAGCGACTCGGGGGCCCCCGAGCCGAGCACCAGAAGCCAGGGGGGGCTCCCCGAAGAGGGCGAGGGGCCCACCGCTCCCCCCGCCGGTGGCAAGAGCGAGGAGAGCGGCGCGGTCACCGGCCCGGGCCCGGCCCTGGGCAGCAGCGCCCTGAGCTCCCCCGCGGCCGACTGCAGCCCCGGCCACGCCACCTTCTCCAACCCGTTGCTGCCGCTCATGTCCGAGCAGTTCAAGGCCAAGTTTCCTTTCGGGGGCCTCTTGGACTCCGCGCAGGCCTCGGAGACGTCCAAGCTCCAGCAGCTGGTGGAGAACATTGACAAGAAGGCCACCGACCCCAACGAGTGCATCATCTGCCACCGCGTGCTCAGCTGTCAGAGCGCCCTGAAGATGCACTATCGCACGCACACGGGGGAGCGGCCCTTCAAGTGCAAGATCTGCGGCCGGGCCTTCACCACGAAAGGGAACCTCAAGACCCACTACAGCGTCCACCGTGCGATGCCCCCGCTCAGAGTCCAGCACTCCTGCCCCATCTGCCAGAAGAAGTTCACCAACGCCGTGGTCCTGCAGCAGCACATCCGCATGCACATGGGGGGGCAGATCCCCAACACCCCAGTCCCCGACAGCTACCCCGAGTCCATGGAGTCCGACACAGGCTCCTTCGATGAGAAAAATCTCGACGACCTCGACAACTTCTCCGACGAGAACATGGACGACTGTCCTGAGGGCAGCATCCCCGACACGCCCAAGTCGGCCGACGCCTCCCAAGACAGCCTGTCGTCCTCGCCCTTGCCCCTCGAGATGTCCAGCATCGCCGCTTTGGAAAATCAGATGAAGATGATCAACGCCGGCCTGGCGGAGCAGCTGCAGGCCAGCCTGAAGTCGGTGGAGAACGGGTCGGTGGAAGGGGACGTGCTGACCAACGACTCGTCCTCGGTGGGGGGGGACATGGAGAGCCAGAGCGCCGGCAGCCCGGCCATCTCAGAGTCCACCTCCTCCATGCAGGCGCTGTCCCCCTCCAACAGCACCCAGGACTTCCACAAGTCGCCCAGCGTGGACGAGAAGCCACAGAGAGCGGCCCCGAGCGAGTTTGCCAACGGCCTGTCCCCCGCCCCAGTCAACGGTGGGGCTCTGGACCTGACCTCCACCCACGCAGAGAAAATCATCAAAGAAGATTCTTTGGGGATCCTCTTCCCGTTCAGAGACCGGGGTAAATTTAAAAATACTGCTTGCGACATTTGTGGCAAAACATTTGCTTGTCAGAGTGCCTTGGACATTCACTACAGAAGTCATACCAAAGAGAGACCGTTTATTTGCACAGTTTGCAATCGTGGCTTTTCCACAAAGGGTAATTTGAAGCAGCACATGTTGACACATCAGATGCGAGATCTCCCATCACAGCTCTTCGAGCCCAGCTCCAACCTCGGCCCCAATCAGAACTCGGCGGCCATTCCCGCCAACTCACTGTCGTCTCTCATCAAGACAGAGGTCAACGGCTTCGTGCATTTCACTCCTCAGGACGGTAAGGACCCCCCCGCCAGCCAGGTCCCCCCGGGGCCTCTGTCATCCTCCGCCACGTCCCCGGTTCTGCTCCCGGCCCTGCCCCGGAGAACTCCCAAACAGCACTACTGCAACACGTGTGGCAAGACCTTCTCCTCGTCCAGCGCCCTGCAGATTCACGAGAGAACTCACACTGGAGAGAAACCCTTTGCTTGCACTATTTGTGGAAGAGCGTTCACAACAAAAGGCAATCTTAAGGTACCTCACCCACCCACCCCTGCCGCCCTCCTCGCTGCTGTCGGCGGGCCACACCCGCTCCCTCGGGCAGGCGGTGGGTGCCACGCAGCAGGGAGGGAGGCAGGCTGCAGCCATCTGCATGTCACGGTGCAGTGAATGATTCGGCACCTTAGCGAGGCAGTGGCCTGGCTGTTGTCTGGCTAAGTGCACCAAATGAATTGCTTTACCTACCGAGTCAGACAGCCCGGCTAGGCCACCGGTATTGATTAAAGACCTCCGAGTGGCCGCGGGCCGCCCGCATCACTTAATAACAGGCGTTCCACCCGCAGGCATCTATATTCAGAACTCTGCCGTCCAGCACGGCTGCTTTTGCTAAAAACAGTAACGTCACTGCTCTGCTAATGGGTATTATGATAATTGATTAGGCAACATTTCCTACCGATAGGTGCTGGAAATAAAGCAAATATGCTCAAGTTCTAGAGCAACAGTTGAACACACGCACTGTGTACATTTTTCTGTTGACAGAGTATTTCTCTGGAGGTCGCTGCCAGTAATGTGAGATGAATAATTACTTTCTGCCTTTTCTCTCCATGCACAGGCCCTCCTATGGGCAATCAGTGAGGGGTACTCTCTTCCCATCTGAAAAGGACATTTATAGGGTAAAGGGTGTCAGATACAATACTTACCATCGCAATGAGAGTGGACATAACAATCTCGCCCTGCAAGGAGCTATCTGCGACTGACTGGCTCGCTGGAGGCCATTATAAGCTAAATACACATAATAAAAAAAGAGTAAGTAAGGCATCTTGGCCCAGGAAGAGGACAGGCAGCCCAGGGCTGCAGCGAGCGGCCCAGTTATTACTGGTCTACCCGAGTGACGCGCCTGTACCTCTCTGCTGTCTGGCGCCTAATAAGAATAGACGTCCAGGCCACTTGCTTTATCGAGGGTTGGGATATGAGTTGAGACAGCTTCAACTATTAAGCTTCTCCCTCCTCTCTCTCTCTCTCCTCCCTCCCCGCCACCCCCCCCCCACCCAGGTACACATGGGCACACACATGTGGAATAGCGCCCCCGCGCGGCGGGGGCGGCGGCTCTCTGTGGACGGCCCGATGACATTTCTAGGAGGCAACCCCGTCAAGTTCCCAGAAATGTTCCAGAAGGATTTGGCAGCCAGGTCAGGAAGTGGGGATCCTTCCAGTTTCTGGAATCAGTATGCAGCCGCGCTCTCCAACGGGCTGGCCATGAAGGCGAATGAGATCTCCGTCATTCAGAATGGTGGCGTCCCTCCAATTCCTGAAAGCCTCGGCACCGGGAGCAGCTCACCTATTAGTGGGCTGACGGGAAACCTGGAGAAGCTCCAGAACTCGGAGCCCAGCGCTCCTCTGGCTGGCCTGGAGAAAATGGCAAATAGCGAGAACGGAACCAACTTCCGTTTCACCCGCTTCGTGGAGGACAGCAAGGAGATCGTCACAAGTTAAAGCGGTTCTGGCCTGACACAGAGCATTCCTGTTCCATCAAGGCCCCGGGTGACCGCTTCCTCCTCGCCCCCTTTCCGCTCCCTTCTTCTGCCCCCAGATGTATGGACTACATTATGAAGACGTTCTTTTGTACCTTGTTCAACTTCTAGAGTTCTAAGAAAGCTTATTTATTAGTGATATAACCTTGCTTTGCAAACAGAATGCAAGCGTTAACTTTGGTCTTCTGTATTTTGGACTAAATACTAATTGACTAGAGTGCTGTAAACTTGCTGTAACATTTATGGTACTTGCAAGTTGCCCTGCTAGGCGATCTTAATCTGGCATTAACTTATTTTCTATATCCAGTTTAATATGAATCTGGTGTTGATGCAATGCCTCAGTGATGCATTAGATCTCTAATAAAGTCTGTATATAAATGTTCACTTTGATCCTGCTGGAAAATTTTATCAGCAAACACATTGTCTAATCTTTCGAAACAGAATTAAGGAAAGGACTGAAATTACAGACTGAACAGCGTGGTTCTTGGAAGGTTTGGTTTTGGGTTGTTGTTTTTTTGTTTTTGTCTTTGGTTTTTGTTTTTTTTGATTTTTATTCTAAGATTCAACCTGCTTTTTTTGTAGATTTAACCATTTCCGTTTTGAACTGCTATTTGTATTGTGCTTTTTACTTGAGTCGTCCTCAATGTTAATAAGTTTCTGTACAGTAATAAGCACGCAGAATTCTTTAGAGAAAATACAAGTGTTGTTTTGGTAGTTGAAACTGAGACGTAATATTTTGCCTTGTAGGTATATTCACAATAGAATATGTGTGCTGGAATCTCACAGTGCTGCTAACTATAGCATCTTGAACAACCTTCAGTGGAGAAAATGTACATGCTCTTGTACATACAATAAGAAATATCACTTTCATTAAAATGTACATATGTTCCTTACAAGAGCAAATGCTTCTTCTTGATCAAGAGGGCAGGTATAGTGTTTGTTTATTTTGTATTAGGTATGGAAGAAAAAAATTGGACTGTTACATGCACTTTCTTGGAAAGTTGAAAGGAAGGGGGTCCAATTTCTTTAACATTTAATACTTACTAACAACAGAGATACTGTAATTTTACTCAAGTAATCAAATACATTTTTTTTTTGCAACAGATAAAACAAAATACTGTGTCTGTGTTTTTAGAGTGTGTTTTTACTCAGATATCCCCAGAAATGGCTGGTAACGTCACTCCAGACATCAGAAAACTGGAATTGTGAAAAGCATAACAGAAACAGATTTGCATGGGCCTGTTTTTTGTTTTTCCTTAAAATTGGATGCTTAAGATATATTTCCCCAATTGGTCACTTTTTTACAACTTTCTCCACCACTCCTACCCCCACCCCCACAAAAAAAAAAAAAAAAAGAAAGTAGAAAATCAGGGGAAAAGTTGTCAGGAAGTTTCATCTCAACAGGTACACTTCTGCACCCAGGCCATGCATGCAGACGTCAACCTGGGCTTTCTTTCAGCCATTGTGGTTTCATTTCACTGGGCTGAGCCCTGTTTTCTTCCAGGGGCCGAGAGCAGGGAAGCTGGAGTAGTCCTGATGCAGCGGGGTTATATAATCTGACTCTGAAGCTGGGCCTCTACCCAGGGAGGTCAACGTGTTCTTTATTTAACTAGTCTTTTAGGCATTTAAATGCACACGCATGTTTGGAAGAAAAAGTCAATTACAAAGGATATGAAGAGTGAACTTGAGCATTTCATCAAAATGCAACCTGACTTTTTCTCCTTTTTGTCCTAGGGGAAATATGATTTCTTCCTGAGCACTCTTCTGGGGTATGCAGACAGTGGGGGAGTTGGTTTCTAGAAGGGTCTCAGAGCATTTTCCTTGCAGGGGTTTTTCCTTGCAGGGGCCGTGACCCAGCAGCAGCCGGTGGCCCTGAGCCCAGGTAAGGGAGAAACATCCTCTGCCTTCCAGTTTCCACCCTGGCGGCAGGCCACTCTGGACAAGCTGGGTGGTCTCAGTGCCAAGCAGGGGCCTCAGAGGGCCAGCTCAGCCTTTGGCCTGGCTGGGCAATCTGGAAGATGGGTGCTGACCCTAAGCCTGGGCCACCTGGGGGTGAGTGACTCTAAACAGGAGTTGGGGGGTTGAGAGGGTAGTGCACTGTGCCCTGAGGCTGAGGTTTCAGTGAGCTGACATTCTGGGGAGATCTTCCTTGATCATGCCTTACCAAGTCCCGCCTGTGCCCCAAGGGAGTCCCTTTTGCTGCATTGGGGATGGGGAGAGGTCGGATTTCTGGCCAGAAACTTGTTCAGCAAGGACTATAGGGGGCCTTTTCCTCGCGAAGGAGGCAGCCATCCCTCTCCTGAGGCTGGTGGGGCGAGAGAAGGTTGCTCCGGCCCCCCACTTCCCAAAGCTGAAGGTGCAAGGAACTCGTTTGGGGGCGCACTCACGCAGCGCCCCCTCCGCACACCCTGGAGCCTCGCCTGCCTTTCCAAAGGGAGCCTCCGAGCAAAAGCCCTGGGTGCGGCACCGCCCAGCGCACCGCTCTCCAGTCCCACGTCTCCCTCCCCTCCACCCACGCCGCCAGGGCTCCCCACTGCCTGCCAGGCTCCGGTGGCAGCCCGGACACTTCGGGCTGTGCATCCATTTCCAGAAGCTGGCTGCTGGCAATCTTCTACCACCAAACGCCCCTTCTAGCGTTGTCTCAAACTGAGTTAAGGGGCGCAAAGGCAGTTTTTCCTTAGACCGATTTTCGTGGCAACTGAAGCCTGGGAAAAGGTCGCAGCTGGGGGCTGGGCCTCCCCTGCCCCTAGCTGTCTGCTTTTGTCCCTGCCTGTTGTCACCATGGACGCCTTTCTAATCTATCGATCACTACCTGCCCACTCCGGTCTATGCATTTCCCAAACACGAGTCCCCGCAGGCCGGCTTCCCCTCGCAGTGTGACACCGTTAGCCTTTCCGCTCAGCCTGGCTGGCAGAAGAGAAATGGGTTTGTATGTGTGAAGCAATAGGGTTTATTTTAACAGACGATGCTCACGTACCACCCCAGCACCCCTCCCCACCCCCCAGGACACCCTCACTTTTTCTCCTAGCTCTCCCGCCTCTGAAACTTGAGTTTCATCGAGGAAGCTTTAGAAGCACCCAGAACCGAATTTCCTGGGTTGCTGCTCCTGGAGTGACAACAGCTAAATTCACAACAATGTTCTACTAAAAATACCCGTTTGGGTAACATCCCTCCAGTTCCTTTAAAAAATTGTAAAAATACAGAAAAGCACAGAGAGTAACATAACGAACCCCCTTGTGCCCACCACTCAAAATTTACAAACGTTAGCAACTTGAAGGGTTTTTGAGTTTTTTATGACTTCTGCTTTTCTTTTTCTTTCTGTCTCACAGTGTCGCTGTGAGGAGCCTCTTGATCTCCTCTCCTCCCTCCTCTTCCTGTGTCTTTCCTTCCTTGGATTTGTGTTCTTTCTTTTCTTACCCCTCCCCTTGCCGGCTACATAGGCTTACCTACCCCGGTGTCCTTCTAGAAAGGAGACATGCATTCAGCAGTTTGGTCTGGTGATTAATAGGGACCTGAGGAGAAAATAAATGACAACAGACAGACACAAGCAGCCCGAGACCCCTCAGGCCAGTGGGGGGATGAGGAGGCTGGGGGGGAATAGTGAGGGCAAGGCAGGACCCTGAAGGCCCCCTGTGGTACCTGAAGCTGACTTTGAACTTCGAATTTTCACACTCCAATCCCACCAGCCATGGTTTATTCAACTGACTGATGGGGGGGAGTAAGGAGAGGGGTCCAGTCTTTTAGAATTAAAAGAAAAAAGTGTTCATACAGAAAATCCTACATGATTTGCAGTTGACATAAATTTCTAGCAGTAGATTATTTGCTTATTGGTTTTGGCCTGTTGCGAATGTCAAGAATGAGAGAACTAAAAAAAAAAAAAAACTGCTCCACCTCTGTTAAAACTTAGCAGTCCTGTTAGAAAAATAAAGCATGGAAGTCCTTACTAGGAGTTACACACTCTACCCCGAATAAAACAACTGTCGGAGGGAGTCACAAAGTGGGAAAAAATGTAAAGTGAATTTCAAAAGGCTCCACAATAATGAAAATGTGAGATTCACAGAAAGTGGAGACGGATAAGACAGGAATTAGGTCATCTGGTCCAGACCCCAGGAAATATGTTTAGATCAAAGCCTGCTCTGTTAGAATAAACACAACGGGGCCCAGTAGGGCCTACCAATATTTTCATCTCCGTGCTCAGAGTCGCTAATCTAACCAGCAATATTTGATGAAAGGGGGTAAAAATCACAACTGTAAAAATGACAGTAAAAAATGTCCGCTCAACTATAATAGGAAGATAAAGATTTAGATTTGAGCTAAAAAGTAACAAGATCCAGGCCCAGATCAACACAAGCTTCCTGGAATTTTAGCACCAGCCAGTTATCTCACCCCAACCCATTGTTCCCTCCTTGAGCAGCCCCCAGCCCCCCACCCTTGTGACAGTGCAGACCAGGTGATTTACATAAAAGAAATTGTTAAATTTTAACTGCAGGAGGCAGACTTTTGGGTTCACTTATTCTACATTCCTCAGGGACCTCCTCCCTGGCCAGCCCTGCCCGCCAGCCGCCCAGGCGGGGCTGGACATTGTGGCCACTCCTGAGGCCAGTCTTCAGATTTCAGTCCGTTTTCCACCAAGGCGCCGCAGAAGCGGGACTCGCGTCACAGAAGGCTGACCAGGTCCCACACCGCCCGACAGCCCTGGGTGTTTTAGCAGCTAAGCCCAGGGCCCGGGCAAAACCTTCTCTCACCGCAGAGCTGATGGCCTCAGTCCAAGTACCAGGGAACATTTGCTAGATAGAAACATCCAGAAAGGGGACAGGAAATCCCAGAGAAGGAAAATTCACCCAGGCTAAATCCAGGGTTGGAGCGCCTTGCTGTGCCTGGCTTCCTCTTAACTGTTTAAACATATGATTTGGCTCCTTGTGTGTTTCTAGGACCATCTGAGCTCCAGCTTAACAAAGACTTGGGGACCGCCCGTCAGCTTGGCCTTGCCCTCTCTGAGGCCAAGATCACTGGGCTGGGGGTGTGACGGGCCTTTATGAGCACCCCAGGACCGGGCCATCCCTGCAGGGGGCCCCCTGGCTGCTCACCACACAGAGAGCAGTTTCAGGGCCAACTTTTCATGATGTGC